AGGCTACGGTGGCCAGGAGCAGCCACTGCACTCCAGTCTGGGCAACAGAGTGAGACTCCAACTCAAAAAATTAAAAAAAAAAAAAAAAAAAAAATATATATATATATATATATATTTAGGCCAGGTGCAGTGGCTCATGCCTGTAATCCCCACACTTTGGGAGGCAAAGACAGGAGGATCGCTTGAGCCCAGGAGGTCGAGGCTGTGGTGAGCTGTGATCATACTACTGCATTCAAGTCTGGGTGACAGCATGAGACCCCGACTCAATCTATAGACCGAAAAACATTTTTTTGAATCGGGGCCTTACTCTGTTGCCCAGGCTGGAGTGCAGTGGCACAGTCACGGCTCAATGCAGCCTTGAACTGGGCTCAGGCAATCCTTCTGCCTTGGCTTCGCAAGTAGCTAGGACTACAGGTGTGTGTTACCATGCCCAGCTAATTTTTTAATTATTTTGTAGAGATGGGGTCTTGCTATGTTGCCCAGGCTGTTCTTGAATTCCTTCCTGGGTTCAAGCGATCCTCTCACCTCTGCCTCCCAAAGTGCTAGGATTACAGGCATGAGCCACCACACCTGACCCTATATTTAAACTTTTTTTTTTTTTTCATTAATCAGTATTTTTTATTATGGTTTTGTGGGGTACAGTTACGGGTTAGGTGTACAATGATGTTTCATTCAGGCACCCTGTAGATAAGAAGTGTGTTCCCATCCCCTGACAGATATTTGCTACTGTTAATCCCATCCCCCTCCCCCCCATAGTTTCCCAGTACCATCAGTCATTTTCTTATAGTTTTGCATTGGATGTTCAAGGTCCATTATATGAGTGAGAACATGTGATATTCGGATTTTTGTTTTTGTGAGAGGTCACTCAGTATTATAGACTCTAGTTCCATCCAGGTTGCAGCGAAATTCATGATTTTGTTCTTTTTTATGGCTCCGTAGTATTCCATCGTGTATATGTACCACATTTTTTTAATCCAGTCCTCTTTTGATGGGCAGCATGGTTGTTTCCAGGTTCTTGCTATTAAGGCTAACACCCCACACACAAATGTGACACGTTAACTAAAACAAAAATGAATAAAGAAATTTGTTTGGGAATATGTATAAACCCTTCAAGGACTCTTCCAAATTAGGGTTATTATTAGTGAATAGATTAATCCACCTTCTGGTTGTCTCCAAAACTTTTTACTTGTGTCCAAATGAAGTGGAAGAGAATAAACTTTTTATAGCAACAGCAGAGAATATGATGGTATGTCGAGGCCATCCCTAAACTGTTCTTCAGAGCAGAAATTGTGCTTTTGAGTTGACATCTTGAGTCCCTGTGGTGTGCTCGGCACACAGGAGCATTCCAGTGATTTGTTTGGTTGCCCATAAACACACGGATGAGAGAAAATTGACTTTGCTCTTGAATGGACAACTGGCAAAACAGATTCATATATTTTGTCTTCGAATGTGCATAGCAATGTAAGGAAGATTTATTTTATCCTGCTTTGCTTATTTATGAACACTAATTTGGCGCAGACCCGGCCCCAGGACTCTTCTCCACACTTTACAAATGTCAAGAGCTCATGACAGACCTCGGCACAGTCCTGTTACTGTCTTCATCCTATCCATGTGGTGACTGAGGCATCGCTTGGTCACACAGGACTAAATGGGGTTGGTTCAAGGCCCAGGCCTGGGCCCAAGCCAGCTCCCAGCGACCACGCCAGGCTGCCCCTGGTGCTTATCGATTCATCCCCGCACAGCATAGACATTGAACGCCGAGTGTCTGCAGGAGGGTGAAATTCAGAAAGAACCAGTCTGTCCCCACTCCCAGTCCATCTCTGGGCTGCTGAAGTACTTTTCTCAGACGCTTGCTGCTTTCCTTGGATGTGGCCCTTGGGCCTCCACTCAGAGCTGAGGTTTTATTTGTCTTATTATTTGAAACCTTTTGCTGTCGGGGATTCAGTCTTGAGCTGGCTAAAATCAGCCATGTGGGTGGGAAGAGGGCACTGTCACAGAGAGGAGACTGGACAGGAGGGAGGAGTGAGAGCTGGCAGTTTATAATCAAGGAAAGAGAAGGAATACAATTCAGAACCCACGCTCACTAGAAAAGCAAAGCTCCTCGGTGGAGGCTTGAATGCAGCTGCCAACACCCATGGGAGTAGAGCACAGGAAAATAAAATCCTATGATGCCCTGGGTTAAAAAACAGCAACAAATCATGTTCAGCTTGTCCTGATAAAAGAGACTTAAAGGTAAAGGAAAACATTTTGGGCATTAAAGGAATAAGACTCAGAAGAATATATATATATATTTTTTTTCCCTCAATTTGTAAGACCATATTTCCCCAATGTGCCCAATAAATGAAGCATCGCTCTTATATTTAACAACTGAAGAAATAATTTTTTAAAAGAAAAAATAAATAAATAAAATAAAAACTGAAGAAATGATTGGAGAAGTACCCTGGTTCTAATACTTCCTTCTATGGGCAGTGATGGGACATGTCTCCTGACACTTTTGCACCTGTTGCCAGTTTTTCCAGGATGCCTCTCTGGCAACCTTGCTTAATTCAGCACTTGCCTAATTTATTGTCCCCAGTGAAGTGAATGTCAAACAGAATTCACTTTAAAAAAAAATTAGGCCCGTAAGGTGCCATTTGGCTAATATTTCTGTGCTGTATCATTTCAGAACCACATGGTTCCAATTCACAAACATGTCTGTGCTGAATTTTAACCTGGGTCCTTTCGTGTGTGAGAACGTGCCTTTT